CCCCCTGTTGAAAAATGATTCTTTAAAAATAGAATTTTTTTTTTATTAAGAAGGAATTCATAAATAAAATAGATGCAATATTTTAATTATTACATATATTTAAATTAAATAATATAAATATGAACAATGACACAGAAACGGTAAAAAAATTATAGCAGTGTTTTAAAAACCCTGATAAGACAAAATATCTATTTAAATATATTCAAATTACTTGAAAATATTAGAAAAATCGTTATTAGAATACAAAATGTACAGAGAGAATCTTAAATAATGAGGTTTCAACCATGAGGTTTTTTTCGCGAATTTTTTTTTGAGAATTTGGAATTTTTTGAAAGATTTTATTAAAATTCAATTAAATTCTGTAGACAAATTGTATATTACAGTATTATACGAATATACCCAATGGCGATTTTTTGGCGACAAACTAAAAAAAGTAAATCTACATTTTATAGATTTGTCAGCGAAATATATGTTACATTTTTACGAGGACCCTGTACAATATTTGATAAATTGTCGTAAAGAATATTAAGTGGAGAAAAACATTTTCGAAAAGTCGAGCAACTTAAAATTTTGAAAAAAAAACAAACGGGTGCTAAAAAAAATTAAATTAAGTAGCTGTCACTTTGCAATGTTATTTTTGTCATACATTTTGGAATTATTTCAAAAACCGCTAAACTTAGTAGGTATGTGACGTTGTAACGTAATGTGTTTATAATTTCATGTCGTTGAATTCAAAAATAAAATAATATACCGCGTGGTTTTCAATTTTGGCTCACCCCTATAACTTTTTTATTTCACCAGTTAAAAAAACGAGATTTGGTAATAATGATTGAAAAGATAAAATTATATTTTTTCCATAGCAACTATTAATTCTATCAAAATTCTGTTATATCTATCAAAAATAGTAGATAAAATAGTACTTTAACCGCAAGGGTAAATTAAATGATATTTTAACAGCGAGGATAGGTTAAAAACTTTATTTTTTCTGGCACGTTTTTTAACTGCTTCCATTTTTGAAACTTTTTCTATTCCTTTTTATAAGTTATTCGGGATTTAAATGGAAGTAGTTTGGATATGGCGTTTGTCGCCTCAGCCTGAATATCTGTTGGTAATTTACTTTATTCGTTTTGAGCCATTTCAGGCTCCAATTCAATCAGCAATCGACACGAAAGAGAATTAAAAAATATTGACTCAAAACTGACAACTAAAGAGACAGCTTTATCTATTTGTCAAATTATATAGAAACCAACGCCAACCCAGCACAATATTTTTTCTACTCGTAATAAATTCCTTGAAATAATAATTTCTGAATATTTTTTAAAACGTAACTCGCCATGGAAAAAAAATATTGTTTTATACACGACGATAAAATTGCATTTATCGTCTCCCGAAATCTTTTCGGTCGATATATAAAATACCATTTTATCGTCTTGTATAAAAAATAACTATTTTTTTAACCTTTCGAGCTTCCCCTAGGAGATGCAAGACCTTGTCGTTGGTGGAGAAGCTCCTGGTCAGGTGCTAAGGGGAATCCCTCCTAGCACTTAGCTTGGTCTAAGAAGCATGTCACTCATCGTCTTGTCCCTGACTGTAGTGTCGTGGCCAGGGAATTGCACCAAGACATATAACGATACCGGGCGGGGCTACGGACAGCCTCAACCTTGGGGCATCGGGGGGCACCCCATTGTATTTTACCCCTTACTTCTACATGCGGGGCTCTGTAGAAGTGGACCGACTGTCCCTAGCGACTCATGGGAACACTATGAGATCTGGTAATAATAGTAATAAAAACATCACCGGTGAAGCTGTGGGGAAACCCCCTAGCGACACTGGGAACAGTAACAATGAAAGTTCCAAGGGGCCAAACCCAAAGAGAACTACAGGAGAGGTGGCTGACACTTGCGTGAGACCATCCTCCGCAAGTGGCATACAAGCTACCACCTCCTCCAAGGGTCGGGAGCCTACCTCCTACTTCTAAACCCAACAGGCGATACAAGCTACCGTTTCGTCTACCCGGCCTGGGTCGTAGCTCCTCGACTGTGAAGGACACGGGTCTCCGTAGGAAGTCCTGGGACTGTATGATGAGTTATAACTCAAGAAAGGGGGACACAATAGATCTCTAAGGTCGCAGACATTAACCCCCCTCCCACTTATTCTTCTAAATTCTAACCTTTCGAGGGCTGTAACTTCTTTTCGGGAAGCATTTTAGGGCATATGTTCATAGGAACTTTAAGTTATATTTTTATCTGTAGAATAACCCACCGAAGTTAGATACACTATTATTTTGACACCCTGTATACAGTTAGTTACATGCCTCAAGCCGTAAAGGTGCCAGAGGATGCATTATTTATACAGGGTAAGTCTTAAATAAGTGCAAATATTTTTGGAGGTATATTTCGACCCCAGGAACACCTCTAGGAGATTTTTCTCGCAAAAAATGGTGCATTTTCTTTTAAAAATTCCTGTATATTTTAGAAAACTTTTTAGAACTGCCTGTTTACCGCATATTTTCCCACGGTAAAATTTCTTAATCTCTTGATATTACCTAGGCACTAAAAGGGATGCAAACACAGAAAAAAATCCGGTGGGTCTCAATTTTGTTTAAAAATAAATCATTTTTTTTTAATTTTCATACTGAATAACTCGGTTATTTTGGACTTTCATTTGAAAAACGGTAAAAAGAAAATATATGTTTCTTTTATCGAGATCTACCAGCCCTGAAAATATTTGCACTTATTCAAGACTCACACTGTATATTTTTAAATAATGCCTCCAGGAATACACAAAGGCCCATCGGAGTATGTATAAAACAATAAAATATATTTAAGTTTAAAATTTACTTGGTGCCCGTTAGGCGCCACGCGTATACTTAAATAAGGGTTAAAAATAGTTAAAAACAACACTGTAAACTATCGGACACTTATTCAGTAACACCCTGTATACATTAATTCGTATACAAGTATTAAGATTAAGAAAACTTTTAATTCAAGTATTTCAAAAAAATTGCATAAAGAACGGTGTATAATATAAAACAACTTTTCATCAAAAAAAGTGGTATAAAATACAGGGTGTTTCAGAAAACCTTTGCCATCTCTCGTGGGGAGATTCATGACGTAAAAATAAACTTTGGACAGATTCAACAGGGACGTGAATATGGGTTATCACTCAAATATTTTTCTAAAAGAAGACGTGTGCGCCACTGACTTTTTTCTTTTATTAGTACAGTTGTGTAGGCCATTTAATGCTGAATTAAAGTAGTTCCTTGATATTTTGTCGATTTCAGTCTCCTTGATGAGATAAACGCAATTTTATTAATTTGCTTTAATCCAAGACAAAATACCAACCTTTAAAAAATTTAATATCATTAACTGGTTAAAGTGTTAAATAACTGCTCATTGATTTCTTATCAAAAAATATGAAAAAAAGTTCCTATAAACATGGATAGTTTTAAAATTACAGGATAGTAAAACTTTTAAAAAATATTTTTTTTTCTCCAAAAAATCCTTTTATGGGTATTTCGCCACTGCACTGCAAGAAAATTTACAAAATAAAATAGTTTTATTTAACACTTCTGCGTTAAACCTAAACGGACGCTGCTTGTCAGAATTTATGTTTACAGTAATATAAATTTGCCTAACAAAGAAAAAAATGCTTAACGTTTCTTCGGAAGCGAAAAAAAATACAAAGAATAAAGAAAAAACTATTTAAAATATTTAAATTCAACTATTCGAGAACAGTTTACTTTTTTAAAACAGATACGTCTACAAGAAACCGTTGACGTTCTGTTAAAATGACATTATATCAATAATAATAATATATAAAAAAAAATAATAATAAAAAAATACAAAATATAATTAAAAAAAAATAATTAATTTTAATTATTTTTTTTATTTTATCATATAAATATTTATATAATGTTTTTTTTTGTAATTATCTTAAACTACCGTTATTTTTTTCTTGAGTTTGTTATAGGTAACAGTGAACATCAGTGTTATAAATTTAAAAAATAATAGTAATAAAACAGGTTAAATAAATAGTTGATGAAAAATGATAAAAATGAAATTAATTTTTATTTTAATTTCATTAATTGTGATTAATAAAACTGCATTTATCTCATTATGGAGATAAAAAAAAACACAATTTCGCTAACAAGACAAAAAAAAGCCAGTGAAGCACAGGTTTTTTCTAGACAAATATTCCTACGATAACCCATATGCACGTCCCTGGTAAATTTGTCGACTCTTTTGTAGCATTAAAATATGTAGCACTTACAGCAACTTTTACCCCCAAAATTATAATAAATTGAAAAAGAATAAAAACTTTAACATCCTGTAGCTACAAAACAAAGCATAATAGAACCTATGTTAATATGAAAAATAATTTCCCCCACGAGAGATGGCACATCTTTTCTTAAACACCCTGTATATTATTTTTTATAAAAACAAAAAAACCTTTAACTTAAATTTGAAAAAAATTGTATAAAACTAAGACAACTTTTTTTTAATCAAAGAAAAGTGGTTTGAAATAAAGAAAATACTAAAAAACTTAAATGAAAAAATGCTGAAGACGACTAAGAATGGTAGTAACCAAAACAAAAAAACATTTAAATTAAGTTTGAAAAAAATTGTATAAAACTAAGACAACTTTTTTTTAATCAAAGAAAAGTGGTTTGAAATAAAGAAAATACTAAAAAACTTAAATGAAAAAATGCTGAAGACGACTAAGAATGGTAGTAACCAAAACAAAAAAACATTTAAGTTAAGTTTGAAAAAAATTGTATAAAACTAAGACAACTTTTTATTAATCAAAGAAAAGTGGTTTGAAATAAAGAAAATACTAAAAAACTTAAATGAAAAAATGCTGAAGACGACTAAGAATGGTAGTATCCAAAACAAAAAAAACATTTAAGTTAAGTTTGAAAAAAATTGTATAAAACTAAGACAACTTTTTTTTAATCAAAGAAAATTGGTTTAAATAAAAGGAAATTATAAAAGACTTACATGAAAAAATGCTGAAGACGACTAAGAATGGTAGTACTAGGACATTATGGCACTGAAGCATCTTCTGCGGCACTGTGGTGGTCCGAAGAACACGGGTAGTCGGTCACAGCCGCTGGTTGTTGACTGATGATGGGAGAAAAACCTATTGGCGAACCACGCTGATCCACCTGACGCGATAGCTAGTACAATAGCGGCAGGCCAACAAATAAAACAGACTCGAGCTTGGTGGACTTTCGATATCAGCCCGCAGGAGTTACTAAGAAATCTATCTTCTCTATCTTACAAACTATATATTATTATCTATAAATCTAAATTAATAACACTAAACAAACATTTTAATTAAATTAAATTAATTACATTGATTAGTTTTATACGAGTTATACACCACTAGAACATCATTATCTACTCAAGATATTTTAGTTTTTATCATAAATATACAAACTAAATTTTACAGACCATAAAAAAACAAGTTTTTAGTTTTGTTATCGTTAATATATAGAGTGTTGTAGATAAGGATGCACACTACAGGGATGTCGTAAATCTAAGATATTTTTGGGGAAAAACAGAAAATTTTTCTGGCTGTATTTTAAAAGATATGACAATACATATGTCACATTCTTATTGTTATTTTTCCTGCTCTATAAGTTGATGTTATTAGTTTTTAAATCTGACGTTTCGTTCTGAAGATACCATCATCAAATTTTTTATTTTAATATGGACTTGGATTTTTTTTATAATTTTTTAAAAAAGCTTTTGAACTCCCAAATACAATGAATATAACAAACTTGCAGATTTCTTGGGTAAGGGTGATTGTATTTAGTAGTTTGAACATGCTATACAAGGTGACAAAAAATAGTGTAGTATTAGCGAAATCACGAGATTAAATATATTGTTTTTATATATTTATTTAATATATGTTTTAGCGCATATGTTCATGTGAACTTTTTGTTTTTTTTTATCTGTCGAATCAACCACCGATACACTACTTTTTTGACACCCTGTATATACCATACAACTATATACAAACCAAAATTCCAATTTTTAGCATAAACCTTATTTAAAAAAAAAAGTCGTAGTATTGTGACTTTAGTTCACCCTATATAACAAAATAATTTTGGAAATTTTATATGAAAAAAAATATCTTTTTTTAAAAGACCAGGAATTTTTTCTTAGCATTATAGAGATATTTTTCTATCTACTATTATACCTGGCTGAAAAAAAATAACCACCCTGTATATTTAGATGCAAATACTAAATTTTGCAACTATATAATATAAAAATGCATTTTTTCTTTTTATAAGTACATTTTGTAAACAAAAAACACTTACATTGATTACATTTCAAGGAATAACTCTCTTAAATTTTATTAGAATTCATTTATACAAGGTGTCCCAGTTATTCTTTGTATCAAATTCACATTACTTTTGTCAGTCAATGTAATTTTTCAAAATTAAACAAAAAACGTTAGAGATATGAAAGTTTTTTTTGTTTAAAAATTCCCAAAATCTACCTTGTACCGTTTGAACGAAAAAAATAGCGTCACAGTGGTCTTGGAATTGACAATCTGTATCTAGTTTCTTAAAAACTAACAAAAATTTACCATAAAATCATGTTTAATTAGAAAAAAAGTAAAAAATATACAAAAAAAACGATTTCAGTGGTTGAAAGTCTTAAAACTTTCTTTCCGTCATTTTTAAATATTAATTTTTGACAATTTTTATGTCAATATTTAATATTGACTGATATATAGGAGAAATCCCATAAAAATATCAGCATAGTAAGGAATAGAGTTCTTTGACGCCTTGTATATCTATAATGTACAGGGTACACTGAACCATAGTGCCATAAAATATCTAACACAAACAAAAGTTATTTGTCATTGTTTACATCTTAAGTATCTTTAGTTAGTCTGTCTGTGTTCCTTGATATTTAAATTATATATTAATAGAAAATCGAAATGCCATTTATTAATAGCCAACAAAACAAAATTCCTATTGGAGAGACTAATTACTAATTACTCATTATACAGATTGTCCGAAATATACTTCTGAATTTTCCACAACTTATTTTAAATTATCGTTATTTACGTTATAAAATAGTATCACTATGAAATCATTATGCGACTTGCAGTACAACATATCGTATAGTCTATGGACTGCTTTAGAAAAATCGTATAATTTTTTAAACATATTATACAGAGTAAAATCTGTTTTTATGGTAATATTCATACAATACAAGATTTTATCATTAATTATAATGAAATCAAAATAACTTAATTTGTTAAATAAACATGTAATAGTGTCATATTCTCTTGTTAAATTATTTGTTATTCTTTGTGTGTAGATCAATGAAAAAAAGAAAATAAAAACTAACGATCTCTTTTTGATCTGGATGGAATATTACTAAATAACTTTCTTAGATATCGATACAAAAAAGCTTTCTATTATGTTGCTATTTTTTAACTAACATATTATTATTCAAATTTTTACACTCGTATTTTAAAATATTAATTTTTTTCTCCATTTTTTAAAAAACAATTATAATATCTACATAGAGAAAATTATAATAAATGTTAATAGTATATTATACTCTACAGATATGATAAAGATAACTTAATACATTTTAGTTCAAACAAAGAATATAAAAAAACATGAATACATTAAAATAATAACGCAGTGAATGCGAATATAACACAGTATACAACGTACTGTGTTATATTCGCTTATTTTTTTATTTATATTTTTTTATATTTTATTATATTATTTTATATTTTATTATATTCGCATTCACCGCGTGTACGTAAAATATACAATCAATAGTAAAAAAAATTGAATTTTCGATATATTACGTTATTTTGAATAATCTAAAAACGAAGTGTGAAAGATTTTTTAAATTCACCCCTAAGAAGGGGTGAAATAAATAAATAAAATTATTTTTTTCGAAATTTTAGAAAAACCGTAAGAACTAGAAAAAAAAAGTTCAAATAAAAGTTGTAGAACGTACAATTTTCTATGAAAATGGTCTCTATACTTTTTTTGCTCAAATTAAAATTAACCGAGATAGGGTGGCTAGAAGCTAAAGGATAGTAGAAATTTTAAAAAAATTATAAGTTGCTGAAAAATTCATATATTTAACTTTTTTATTCAATTTGTTTGAAAAATTATAAATTTCAATTAATTTTTTTTTTGTATTTCACCCCAAGAAGGGGTGAAAAATATAAATAGTTTTTTTTTAAATTTCAGAGAAACGGTAAGGTCTTTGAAAAAAAATGTTTTAAATAAAAGCTGTCCCCTAATTTCTAGCCACCCTATCTCGGTTAATTTTGATTTCAGCCAAAAAAGTATAAGGAACTTTTTTTTCTAGTCCTTACGAAATTTCGAAAAAATAATTTTATTTATTTATTTCACCCCTTCTTGGGGTGAATTAAAAAAAATCTTTCACACTTCGTTTTTAGATCTTTCAAAGTAAATTATATCATGTAAATCTATGTAAATTCTTGGACTACAAATAAAATAGTTCTAAATGTATCCAATGATTTTTTTAAAAGTATCCAACATGAAGTCTCTGTATTGGTACCTAGAAATGTGTCTCAATTTATTTTTAACTCGGTAATTCTATAAAAAATTAACTACCTAAACATTTTTTTTAGTTTTAAAAAGTTATTATTAAATTAAATGATTCTGTACTTAATTACCTTAGTTAAAAATGGGAATTAACAAATTATTGCTACACCTACAGCCCTTAATTACATTGCAAATCTAATAAAACGCTCCCATGTGTCTAGTTTTGGCAAATTAAACTGCTAAAACGGTCCACACACTATAAAACTTATCGTACATCAAGTCGTACAATTTTACAAAATATCCAGTTTCAGGAAAATAAGCGAACATATAGCAAAATCAATAAAAGTTTCATCATAAAAATGTTTGCGTTCGGTTCAAAAAAAACGGTTTTATATTTGATTTGAACTGACTCAAAGCGAAAAGTTGCAGTATTTTAATGCACCGTATTTTAATGTTACTTTACAATAATACAGGGTGCTCCTTAATGACATGCTAATATTTAAGGAGGTGATTTTAGGACCTACTCTAAGCAAAAAAGTTCGTATGAATATATGTCCTAAATATCTTTCTTTAAAATTAAACTTTTCAGATACAGCGTGTATTTTTTTCAAAATATCTAAAATGTTATATTTAATACACGTCTTCCATGAAAAAAATACAAAAAAAATTGTTATATTTCTTAATTTCCTTCTAGCCGATTATTTGGCCCTGAAGTAAAATGACTTTAATTTTTTAAGCAAAAACTATGGGTCGGACGAAAAATATCAAGAGATAAAAAATGTTTAGAAATGAATGGAGATTTTGAAAATAAGTTTTATTTTAAGAAAAGTCAGTGGTGTACCACTTTTTTCCCAAAAAATATTCAATGTAAAACCCGTATGGACGGTACTGGTTGAAATAAATAAAATTCCTTGTACACCAAAAAGGTATTTTGATGCCTAGAAGACTATAAAATTATCTATAATAAAATCAGGGTTATTATAAAAATAAGTTTTTTTTTAGAAAATTTTACCACCTGCTATCATCTCTTTTACCACCGTTCTACTCGTTGGCAAAAAAGGCCCCCAAATTGCGTCCGCTATTTTAAGGCATCGTTTAGTAGGAAATCGAGGCTTAACACAGTTTGAGGGCAAAAGGGGCTCGCTATAATCTCTTTCCTGCTCAAAATAATTGAGTAGAGACGAGACAAGTTGGCTGATTCGAACTATTTGGTGGTTTTCGCATTTTACTGCAGTGAAAATTGCACTTTTAACTAAACAAAACGTGGATTTAATTTCAAATTAGTCAAAAAAAACTTAGAATAAAATAGAAAATGATAAAAGTCCGATTAGAAAAATTAATAAAACTTACCAAGAAAAATCTCATAATATGATTTTATTTACTAGGATATGAAGAAAATAAACCTCGAAATACGAAGTTTGGATAAAAACTTGAATTTTTGATATACTTACTTTGAAAGATCTAAAAATAAATTGTGAAAGATTTTTTTTTTAAATTTCACCCCAGAGAAGGGGTGAAATAAATAAATAAAATAATTTTTTCGAAATTTCGGAGAAACAGTAAGGACTAGAAAAAAAGGCCCAAATAAAAGTTGTAGAGCGTTCAATTTTACATAAAAATGGTCTCTATATTTTTTTTGCTTAAATTTAAATTAACCGAGATAGGGTGGCAAGAAGCTAGGAGACAACTTTTATTGAAACATTTTTTCAAAGTCTTTACCGTTTCTCTGAAATTTGAAAAAAAACACTTTATTTTAATTTTTCATCCCTTCTTGGGGTGAATTTAAAAAAAAACCTTAATTGTAATTTATAATTTTCCATACAAATTGAATAAAAATGTTAAATATGTGAATTTTTTTTGCGACTTATATATTTTTTAAATTTCTCTATCATCCCCTAGCTTCTAGCCACCCTATCTCGGTTAATTTTGATCCAAACAGAAAAAGGATAGAGATCATTTTTATGTATTTTTATGTAATAATTGCAAGTTTTATTTGAACTTTTTTTTTCTAGTTCTTACCGTTTCTCCGAAATTTCGAAAAAATAATTTTATTTATTTAATTTACCCTTTCTCAAATAATAGTTTGGCCGTCTATGATGACATACACGTAAACTTTTATTGATTTCTCTATAGAAACGCTTACAGTAGTAAGTAGTAATTGTTTGTTAAGTCTGTACTACATATCTGGTCGTCTACGGCCCGCTTTACACGAACTAAACCATGTTTCAAAATAACCTCATTCATGTTTTTACAACCTGAAGACCCTATAAATTGTAACACGGAAAATTTTTACTGCCTGTGAACTATTTTTTTTTCTTGAATCACATACAACAATAAAATGGCGAATGTATTATTTTTGACAATATAATCCCCTTTAAAAGTAAACTGATGCCAATTTTCACGGACGCTAAGGAGATTTAAGGAAAAAACCTAATAAAATACGCAAAAAAGTTGAGGTCAGCACGGTATACCGAAGAACAAATAAATTTTTAGAGCTCCTATATACAATAAATAACTTTCCGATGGTTTTTGTTTATCTAAGGCGTGCGACAACAAAAAAAGTTTCACAAAAATGTTTCTTTGCTCATTGACGTGGACTATTTATCTTCAAGAACGAGGCTATATATACTGTGTATTTACATAAAATATTATACTATCAATCTGTGTTAAGCTTGGTCTACACCTTACGTTTAAACTGGTCAGTCAAAACGTATCAAGTAAAACTTTGCGTGTGGACGAATAAAAAAAAGTGCGAGTCGGACTTGTCCACCGACATTTCCGTACAGTGTTGCCAGAATTAAAGGATTTCCTTCAAATGAAGGATTTTTATCCAAAAAGAAGACAATATGAAGATGCCTGGCAGTTTTGTACAATAAAAATTGTTAAAATATGTAGTAGGAATATTTATTGTTTTTCCTACATCTATTTATTGACTTTAACGGTGTTTAATTAAGGATGCCTCAGTTTAAAGCAATGCTGCTGTCAAAAAGTGCGCAATTCGAAAGATTTTAACATTTAACAAAAAATGAATAGACACATTTTTGTCTTTCAATGCGTCTTATTACACACATACCATAACTAAACCAAAGTTTTTGAGGTTGAAAAGAAATAATAGGTAAACGGAAAACATCTAACAAGTCAGCTGATCATGGCGTCTTGCATGATTAATTATTCTCCGTTCAAGCAGTCATATTGTAAGCAATTAATTTTTTGAAACATACTTTATAATACTGCTGTCAAGTATCTATCTCCGAATTTTTGTTCGTGTTATTTTTTTTAATAAAAAGTTTATTTAAATAGATCGGTGTCCAAAAATTACCAGAAATAAGTTCTTAAAAATTTTCTCCTAATTATAAAAAATATGTAAAAAACACGAAATTTGCTGATTTTACGCAAGATCTGGAATTTTTTGTGAAGTTGAAGGAATTGAAGGTTCTTTAAGGCTCTGTTGAAGAAATTCGCTCGAAAATTTCTGGCAACACCGGTAGACATTCTTTTGTTTTAACTGACAGACTAAATAGACGGTAAAACTTTATGTGTAGACAAAGCTTTACCGAACGCGGTATAATCTAAAAAACCGGCGTCAGGGTAACCTTTGAAAAAACTTTCTATGATAATTTCTGCCGTGTCGATCCCTATAAGTTCGTTTGTTTAAAACTGACATAAATATTTGTCAAATCTTAATGTTTAATTTCGAAAAACAAGTAAAAAGGTCCTCTAAATACTTTTTTTTTGCAAAATAAATCTAAACAAGTAAAACAAAGTCTGATTGGTTACACCTGCTATAACTCAAGAACGCCTGGACAGATTTTAATGATCTCTGTTTTGTTAAATTCGTCTGCTGTCCCCGAATACAAGAATAACTCATAAAATATCTGAAAAACTCACGGAAAAAAATGAAATAGAAAATTGAATTTTAAATAAATCAGGTTTGGAACTCCGCCATCTTACGCATTAAATAATAGCTCATGTCACGCACACTTATAGTTTATTTGTAATAATTGATGACCCCTTCAAATCAGTGACATATATTATATTATAGAACAGTGAAAATAGTGAAAAAATTGCATATTATTCAACACTAAAAAGATGTTTAACACTTTAGTTTTGTATTATTGTGATACTTTAAGTTTAAATTTTTTACTAACAGACCTTGAAGTCGATCATTGTTCTTTTTAGAGCCTCTTTTAGCGCCAAATGTACAAAATAGCTTAATAGCCGTTGCAAAAAACTCATCGCAACCTTATTAGAGTATTTTGAACGGGAAAGCGGTAGTAATGACCCTTTACGTCCCATAAGTGCTGTTAAGAAAGTGCGTTTTGTTGATGTTTATACAGGGTGGCGCACCTCATTCGCCTCGGTTGATTATACGAAAACGGAAAGATATAGAAACAAAATATTTTATGGGTATATGTGGGGAGGCAATCTGCACAATTTAAAATTATTTTGAAATATACAGGGTGCCTCAGAACTAAAAACCATACCAAAGTTATATTTTATCTTATGGAACACCCGGTATTTTATTTCATTTTTGGATTCTTGATTAATTTATTTTTGTTTCCTACATTATATTTTGATTAAAAGAAAATACGTAAAAGCTGGCAACGCTGTGCCGGTCAAGCTTAATCACGCGACTAAAAGTTTATTTGGTTTGATCTATGTAGAGTTCAACCCCAAAGAGATTATTATTGATTATCAATTCGACGGCTACTGTGACGCTGTTTTTTTTTCTCGATCGTACGGTATAATGACTATAAGTGGCTAAGTCACTATTGGCGTGCTTTCGATAAAAAAAATGTAAAACAAGCAAAGATTTTGATATTGGTTCATGGCGTGTCACATGAAACGCGTGAAATTTCATATTGATAGTATAATTGGCGTTTTGTCAGTAGGTATATGGGAAAAAACAGAGAAAAAACTTGTTAAATGTGTTAATTGAAGGTATTCAAATAGATATAAATGTTGATAGAAATAGAAATAGCCTATAGACATCACATAATATCAATATTTTAAATACATTTACCCAGGATGTAAAAATAAAAAAGTTTGAAAAAATCCAGGTGACTGTCTTTTTTAGAAATGAGAATTTTTTGTATAAATTGTTTTTTGGAAATAAAATAAATAATTGTATAAGTCATATACAAAGTGTCCAAATGACTGGCTGATGATTAATATTAAACAAAAATTGTTCTAGTTCTTCAGTGTTTCAAAAAACATTTATTTATTACACTCTGCCTTAGAAAATTCGTTTATATTATTATGAATGTTTCACCCTATATTTAAACAAATATCCTTGTAAATAAACACGAAAAATTAAGATTGTATAATATGAATAATAAATAAAACACATATATTTCTTAAAAAGCATTCACCTCCCGATTTTTTCACACTTATTCATTGACATCCTGTATAACAAATATACATATAAATAACTTAATTCCTAGTAAAATATTTTAGAAAGTAACCCTGACTTTAACTCCAAAATTAGTAATGAAAAAAACCCTTGTTTCACAATATATTTGAAATTTTGAACACAGTAAAACATTAATACATAATTATATTAATTCTTCTTAACTTTTTAGTAATTTTGGAAAAAATCGAGGTTATAAATTATCTTAAACTAAAAAAATATTACTTTTTAGTACACCTAGGATCTGAAAATGTTTTTTACTGACTCAGTTTACCATAAATACAGTGACACTGAATGTCAGTTAAAAACTAGGTATATTAAGGTATCTTTAAAAACAAAAACCGTTTCTTTTGAACATTATATTAACAAATACATATAAACAAATGTCAAAATACCTTATCTCCTGCCTTTTCCCTTGCCTTTACCTTTACCCTGACTGCTCTGCGGTTGCTGTTCGCCAGAAGGTTTGCTCAGTCGGGTCTTCAGTTTCGGTATCATGTCACCCAAATGCAACAATACACTGTCTCTGGTAGGAAATGAGGAGTTGTAGAGTGAACCATCGTCGTGTTTTAACTGTACCCTGATTCTACCCCTGTATAGAAGTTCTTTACTGCGTTCCCGGCTGTATTGCTTGTTTTCAACGCCAACCTTACACGAATATCATCTTTATATGGTCAAAAAACTTTAAAAAACACTTACATTTAAACCTGAAGCAACTAAAACATCTCGTATCTCCTGATAAGTTGGATTTTCAACTGCCCTACTTTTTGCTATCCTCCTACCCTCGGCGATTGATTTTTTGCTGTTTATGTAAGCGGGATAGATACAAATCCACCTAAAAACACGAAAAACATACAATAACTCTGGTATATTTACCCAAAAAACACAAAAATATCGTTCAACATATGCGTGATGATATAATACCTCTCTCGGTCGCTGAATTTCTTGTCTGGACTCCATTGCAATACAGGAGGAGCTCCGGAATATGTAGCCATAGTTTCTATAAGTAATTTAATTCAATTCACCAATCAAAATAATCTTTTTTTCGATTAAATATTGCACTTTCTTGTTTAAATGTTTTCCTAACCATAAAAAATGTTGACAATGTTGACGTTAATTTTTTTTAGTTACAGATTTGTTGTAATGGTGGCGCAACATATTTTAATTTTGTGGCGCCACCTCTTAAAGAATGGACAGACTACAGGAATTAAACATGGTAACATAAACCTGTAATATTTATTTTTGAAATTTGAAAAATGTTCAAGTTGCTGTTATTTTTCGCTCGATATTTTTACTTTATTTAAAAAATTATATATAAATACTTATTAACCTTCACCGCTTTCAACGGAAACATGTAGAATTCATCATAAAAAAGTAAAAAAGCTTATAAAAAAACATTATTTATACAGGTACAGGGACCACATAACCACCAAACTGTCGTTCAAGCTCTTTCGCAACTGCAATACATAGTCTATCTTGATATGGGGCCGCCACTACTTGAATTCCCAAAGGCAGGCCCTCTTTTCCAAGCCCCATAGGAACCTGGGTAACCGGAAATTTCAGTACGTTCCATATAGCAAACAGATTAAAGTTATACGGTCTCAATAAAGCGGTATGGTGGTAGCTTGCTGGAAAGGGAGCTGATGGATATATAAGGACACTGTTTTCATCTAATTTAGTCTAAAAACATGTAAAATTAAGTGTTTAAATAGTGTATATATAAATATTTTACCAGGAGAGCCTCTTTTAAAGTGTTTGTTGTTTCTATTGCCCATTTTTCATCAACTTTTTTCATTAAACTGTTGATCAGGTTGAATATTGTCGCTGTAGTGTAGTCACCTCCGAAAGTGAAGTGTTTTAGAGCTTCCCAAATCACATTTACCTTGAAAATAAATATTTCAGACCAAAAATAGAGTATAAAAGTACGTAACATACTTCTCCTTGCCTGTCATTAATATCATTTTTAAAATTGGAGCCTTCCTGGCTCATCCAATATTTCCACAGTTTTGTTGTATACTTTAAATCCTCAAAGTGTAATCCTTCTGGTTTTATATCACAAATTTCTTTAAAATGATTCACTGTCCTATAAAGTAGGTACTTTATAATATATATTTTTAAAAAATTATACACATACCTTTTAAAAATTAACTTCATTTCATCTCTAAAGGGACTAATGAAGGGATCTTTAGGATTAGTAACATAATACACTTTTAATTTTTGTACAGGTACTGGTTTATCAAGGTGTAACTTCTCCACATTAGTACCAGCCAGTACTTTGAGAAATGGAATCAGATCTTCTGCGTATTTCACCATAGGACCTGCCACAACCATTGTGTCTTTTTCCAACCCTGTACGGAATGTCAAGCCTAGAAAAGAGACATATTTTTCCCAAAAATAATAACTTTTAATAATAAAAAAACCTTTAATTGGAACTACATTGCATGTTGTTTTGTGTCCAAAAATTCCACACATGAAGGAAGGTATTCTCAGAGATCCGCCGATATCTGTACCTGTATTTAATAAAAATAATATTAAAAAACTACCTTTCTGAGTTATTTTCTTTTAAATTACCGATGCCCAAAGGTGACCCACAAGCTGCTATAATACTAGATTCACCCCCTGAAGAGCCTCCAACATTTCTGGAAGAATCATAAGGGTTGTTTGTAATTCCATACACCGGATTGTGTGTTTCTTGCCATAAATTCAACTGAGGTATGTTAGATACCCCCAAAAGAATACCTCCAGCTTTTTTTAATAGTTCTACACAATCTGCGTCGAAAGTTGCCTTACGACCTTTGCGTTTTTTCAAGCCAAAAGTAAAAGCTAGGTCTTTGCAAGCTACAGATTCTTTGGTTGTAAATGGAATACCTAGAAAAGGTTTTTCTCTAAAATCCACTTCTAAAATAGTGCCTGAAGCGATATCTAAATCAATTTGTTTAGCTTCTTTCAAAGCTTCTTCAAACCGTTCATCGACAATAGAATTTGTAATGGTGTTGACCTCTTTGATTCTGTCAATGAATGCCTGAACAATTTCCTCAGATGTGAGCTCTCGTTTTTGAATTTTTCTGGCTAGAGTTGTAGCACTTTCTAGTACAATAGGATTGGAGACTTTGGTTACTATTTTCGTTATTTTGTCTAATTTGTAGCAAAATCCAAATATTTTGTCAATGAGCAAATCGAAACAGAAGCGTAAAACTAGGAACATTTCAAATAAGATATTACAAATATCTTCTTTTTGCCTGTGATATCTTCGTTCTTCAGATTCTAAAGTTGTTAAAACATATTAATATAAGTAATAAAAATCTCACAAAAATAATTATACCATTTTCAGTTGGATTGACCATTTTTACCAGTTTTCAAGTACTTATACGTAAATGTAGGTGTAAATTTCTCATTAAAATATTGACCTTTGCATTTACCAAATTTTTAATACTGAAGTATACCTGTGCTAATGGTTGTTGAACTTTTTAAAAACAGTAAATAACAAATAAAATTAAGGTTAAGGAAATAATAATGCACATTTAAATTCTTATGGACAAAATCACTTTCACTTTGCAATTTCATAATAAATAATTACTTAATAAATCTTAGCACCTTCTAATTAACTTACTTCGTGAAAAAATAGTTTTATTACAGTAAAAATTATTATAAAATGAAAGCAGGAAGTTTTATATTAAATTAATTACTTTGATAAAATATTCCTTATTTCGTCAGATGTTTGAATAATTCAATCAAAATTACAATAAAATTAATTTTAGAAAACTTTTTATGCATTAAATAATATTTTAAACCTTTTAGAATTTTTCAATTTAAAATTTTAGCGGGTCAAAAAACAAAAAAAATTGTAGTTGCTATAAATTCAAAAAGATGGAGCTACAGGTACCCGACCTTCCAAAAAATAGATACCTATCGTCATTAGCAGTGATAGTCTAGCTATTTTAGTCTAGATGGCAGCAAAATATGAATTACAGTTTTCTATTTTCATATTTCCGATGTAGTTTTGTCATTGTCACATAGATGTCGCGGTATACAAATTACAGTTTTCTTTTTTAAAATACTGCAGCCCCATCTATGAGTAGCTTCCTAAACTATTTTATCCGTAGTTCAGAAAATAATGAAGAGATGGCGCCACAAGAAATTTTTAATTTATTTCTGCGCCATCTATGAGCGAAATATGTAACTAGAAAATATAAAAAAATATAATTCAATTAAAATAATAATATAAATAAACTGAAATGACCAAAGAAAATAGGTAATATCTACTAATAAAAAACAGTATTTTCTTTGATTTTTGTATTTTAAAATTTATTGTTTAACAGCTTCACGGTACACAGTACCGTTTTATTTCTGAAACATTGAAATACTAGTTAAAGTTAAATAAATTATAGGTGTTGCATAACGATGTGTTGTATTTCTGCCATCATTGCCATTTAAGTAGGTACATAGTATAAGCTATATTATAATTTGAACATCGTTTTAAAGATGTACAACTTTTCTTTATTATCCCTATTAGTAGTGTAGTTAAAATTAATAAAAATAAAATACATATAGAACCATTTTTTTCGTTTTTTGTTCCCATAAAAGTTGTTTTTAATAGGAAATATACTAAAAAAATGCTTAAAACGTTATTATTTATTGTAAAAACTATCTTTTTTTTTAGTAAAATACTAGACAAATATGTTTTTATTCGATTAATATTATAGTTTCTCTATCTTAGGTCGACTTTCTTAAAATTACCAATGTCTAAAACAGTGAGTTACACACAACACAACCCAATAAACTCGTTACAAGTTCTTCTTATTGTGTCCAACAATATATTTTACCTATTTTCTTATAATTAAAGGCAGTGCCGTGCCGACCATTTCTTAAATATTAAAAATAATCCTATTTATTAGTTATCTTATATTTTTTTGATGCGGTTAAAACCTTCTTGTTCAAAGGTTCGAGGCAGTGACAGTTATTTTTTTACCTCACATTTATATATGAGATCAGTACGGCACTGGATACCAGATTTATATACCCTAAAACCATCACAGTACAAAAAAGTTTATACTGTTTTTAAAACTACGTTTATTGTACGTTAAAATACGTAATTACAGCAGCGACGTTATTAAAAAGACGTCAAATCGTTGCCAGATCTACGAAAAAGTCTTAAATTTTTTATTATTTTCGGCGATTACGTATAAAGAACCTTTTTAGATTGAAAACAAGCCAGATTCCCATAAAATTTGTATATAAAAGAGCTAAAAATATTTAAGCTTGAATTTTTTAGGCTTAAAAATCCTAAGATATGTAATTTGAAATTTTTTAAATAAAATCCTTCGCCATTTTATCAAGAATCGTAACTTTATCTTAAATTCTATCAGAAATATTATTGGTTTTATTGCGTTTGCCTCTATCTGGGTAAGGTAATAGTTCGGTAATAACTGGTAATAACTATTTCAAAGCGTATACAGACATCTGCTTTGTTTTTTTCTCTTTTTAAACCTAACAAAGTTATATTTTATTGAAAGCATCATCTAAGGACATCTAAATAGAACCAAAAGGATCTCCTTATTTATTTTTATTATAGAAAAAGGAGAATATAGGTCAAAATTGTGAGTTTTTCTACTTAATTTTTAGAAACATTGTGAGTTTTTAAGCGTAATATATCATCTAATCGTCGGGGTATCAAAATAACAACTCTCCATCTAAAAAAATACTCTTAAGACACGCTAAGGTGATGCAGTATTAGACTCAGACCCAAAAAAACACGGTCCTATTCAATTTCCCTCATCCCTATCTAAAAACCTTTCGTAAAAATCTCTCCTAAACTCCATCTTAGGTTTACCTCCTTTAAAATCCTTTTTAAAAATTATTTCTTCAACCAGTTAAACAGGGGTTAAGGTAAAGCTGCGGTTCTCTAAGCACCGCTGTTGTTACAAATGTAGGAAACGGCTAGAGCATCGGGGGTGGCTGTGAGTTTCTTGGTTGAGGAGTTGTTATTGTAGAAATGAGATGATTTTCTTACGCTGGCTGATGAGGAGGCTGTTGTAACGGCGACTGTTTCGTAGTGACGTAATCTGCCGCAACAACGCCTACTCTTCAACACTGCTGCGAATCCTTTACGGAATTTTTTATTGAAAAAAGCATACAGAATGGGATTGATGCAAGAATTCGAAGCTCCCAACCATTGAGCTATCGGTGTAGCTACAGGGAGTAGCTCCTCCTCCCATGGAGCTATCTCTCCACCTAGTTTAATCCTTGCAAAGATCGCGTAAAGTGGTAACCAAGAGATCACAAACAAAATCACAACCGCTACCAACATTTTCACCACCTTTACCTTGGATTTTTGCTGTAACCTTTCTATTTGAGCATCACGGGTATCTGTGGGAATGTGCCTTTTCCAGACCTTGACGTAGATGAGCACGTAGCACATGGTGATGAGGATCATGGGCAAGATGTAGCAGAAAAGGAGGTTGGCAACGAGGAAGTAGAGGGACCCGTTCATGGGTTCTGGCCAGACTTCCAGGCAGAGTTGGACGTCTGGAGCGTCGGTGAAGATGACCACTAGGTCGAAGTAGAGTGCCCAGGGGATGGTGGCCGTCAGAGAGACGCTCCAGATGAGGGCGATCATGAGACGGGCGCGGCGCTTGGTGATTTGGCATTTGAGAGGCCACCAAATGGCCAGAAATCTGAAAAAAAAACAAATGTTATCAGAAAAATAAATATACACTCAGATGCATAAAAAAAAGGCAACAGAGAAATTTCTTGTTAAGTTTTTAAAGTGTTCTTTTTTTGTTATTTTTGGCTTTATTTTCGTGAATTTTTTAGCAAGCTGTATATAATTATATCAACTTTAATTCGCAAACTCAGTTTTTTTTATCAACTTTAGTACTTGGCATATTATACAGGGTTAATCGAGGAGTTGTTTTTTTACCCTAACTTTAAAACACCCTGTGCAATAATTTCGTGTGTAAATTTTCCTAAAATACTGCTTTACGTTCAGAACCATATCTCCTGAGCATTTTGATTTTTGGATCATGTCAATACATGCCTGCTTGATTAATTTTTAAGAAATGAACTTGCCACCAACAATTTGCAATTTTTTCAATTATCACTTCTTTTTTAAAACTATTTTTCAATGTGACAAGACGGCTTTGGTGATTATTGTGAACTATATACTACTGCGGCTATGGCTACTATATACTACTTGGCAGAAGGGTTAGAAGTCGAGAAGCGGTACCAGTGGCGCATCTAGAGATTGAGTCTGGGAGGGGTAGTATGAATATTCAAAGTACTAAATTTGAATTAAATTTTTGCTGGAAGGTATTGTAACTGTGGAAAAAATCTACTTGGATTGGTTTGGATATTCTGTTTTAATTTGTATTATTAACTTTTTTGTAACAATTTTTTTTTATACCAAATTTTATCTTATTAATTAATTTCTTTCCGGGAGGGGTAATTGTATAGGGCTTGTTTCTCTCTACAATTTCCTGTTTCACAATGTACCGTTTGTGTCCGGGAAGGGTTCATAGTTTCATCGTTGTCGATTTTCGAAAGAAATCAGAACATGTATATTATTTCGTATATTTTTCATTTTACTGATTTTATGGAAAGAACTGTTCATTAAAACGTTGTATCCTTTGTTATAGGGCTTGTTTCTCTCTACAATTTCCTGTCTCACAATGTACCGTTTGCGACCAGGAAGGGTTCATAGTTTCATAGATGTCGATTTTCGAAAGAAATCAGAACATGTATATTATTTCGTATATTTTTCATTTTATTGATTTTATGGAAAGCACTGTTCATTAAAATGTTGTATCCTATGTTATAGGGCTCGTTTCTCTCTAAAATTTCATGTCTTACAATGTACCGTTTGTGTCGGGGAAGGGATCATAGTTTCATAGTTGTCGATTTTCGAAAGAAATCAGTATATGTATATTATTTGGTATATTATTCATTTTATTGATTTTATGGAAAGCACTGTTCATTAAAATGTTGTATCGTATGATATAGGGCTCGTTTCTCTCTACAATTTCCTGTTTCACAGTGTACCGTTTGTGTCCGGGAAGGGATCATAGTTTCATCGTTGTCGATTTTCGAAAGAAATCAGTACATGTATATTATTTCGTATATTTTTCATTTTATTGATTTTATGGAAAGAACTGTTCATTAAAATATTGTATCCTACATTATAGGGCTTGTTTCTCTCTACAATTTCCTGTTTTACAATGTACCGTTTGTGTCGGGGAAGGGATCATAGTTTCATAGTTGTCGATTTTCGAAAGATATCAATATATGCATATTATTTGGTATATTATTCATTTTATTGATTTTATGGAAAGCACTGTTCATTAAAATGTTGTATCCTATGTTATAGGGCTCGTTTCTCTCTACAATTTCCTGTTTTACAATGTACCGTTTGTGTCGGGGAAGGGATCATAGTTTCATAGTTGTCGATTTTCGAAAGAAATCAGTATATGTATATTATTTCGTATATTATTCATTTTATTGATTTTATGGAAAGCACTGTTCATTAAAATGTTGTATCCTATGTTATAGGGCTTGTTTCTCTCTACAATTTCCTCACAATGTACCGTTTGTGTCCGGGAAGGGTTCATAGTTTCATAGTTGTCGATTTTCGAAAGTAATAATTAAAATAAATTAATTTCTTTCTGGTAGGGGTAATTACCCCCATTACCCCTCCCGTATATGCGCCCCTGAGCGGTACCAGCTTCATTAAACGAACTTCGCTTGGTCCTTAAAGAAAAATGGGAAAACATAACGCAATATGATATAATATGCAGATATATGCAATGACAGTATGAACGTACATATACAGGCAGTTATAGCATCCAAGGGAGGCAATACATAGTGGATATTCTTTACAATTCTTTTTCTGTTTGTATACTTGAGTATTAGAGATGTTTTTTTTAATATCATTGGTTCTGTTATTGTTATTAATGTTTATTAAACCCAGGACTGTATCGTTAGTCTTTAACGTTTTTTTTTTTAAATTAGGTATAGAGTATCCAATGCAGCGTAATATGACGTTACGACAATAAGCACCAAAACCATCTCGTCATATTAAAAAACTACATCAAAAAGTAACGATAAATGAAAAAATTGCAAATTGATCGTGATCAGTTCATTTTCCTCTCAAAAATTAATCAAAGCATGTATTGACATGAATCAAAAAACAAAGTGCTCAGGAGTCATGGTTCTGACCGTAAAATTATATTTTAGGAAAATTTACACACGAAATTATTGTACAGGGTGGTTTAAAATTAGGGTAAAAAAACAACCCCTCGATTTACCCTGTATAATATGCCAAATACTAAAGTTTATAAAAAACTAAGTATACGAGTTAAAGTTGATATAATTATATACAGCTTGCTAAAAAATTCATGAAAATAGAGCTAAAAATAACAAAAATATAACACTTACTAAATTTGACCAAAAATTTCTCCGTAGCGTTTTTTTTGCATCTGAGGGTCTATTAACGCCAACATGAAATTCGAAATATACTACAAATTAAAATACTTATTTAAATAATGCCCTGTATTAAAATTCCAATTAACATAACATGTTACTTAATCAAATAATAATTAAACACATATTTGCGGAAATATTCAAAGTACCCCCGCAGTTCCACTTAGTTTACTGACCTCACGGTCAAAGAGATCAAGACAAATAGCATAACAATATACCTTTAGAAAAAATTATCATTAATATACATACTTTAAGTACATCAAGGCTAATATCTTGAATAAATCTCTTTGGCAACAGAACGAACTGCGCGAACTTATCAAGGTTTTCACTCAGAGGTATTATTGATAAACGATATTAAGATTTAGCAAAATGTGCCTACATATTTCCCTGACATTTTTCGATGAAAAATGTATCTAATTTAATTCTTCTATGGATTTCAATGAAGAAAAAAAAATGCTTAAATATGTAAATCCAAATAAAGTTAACGCATAAATATATTGAGTTATTAATCAAGCATACTAAAAAGAAGAATCGTTTGACGTTAATTTATTCACCAGGGATTACCAACACCAATGTAAAATAATCACTTAAGGATCTATATTTCTGTAATTTTTTTTATCAAAAAGCTTTTAAAAATTCAGTAAAACGATTTTTCAGTATAAAAAAAACTTTTTGTTACGTAATTCTTGCCATTTCATTCTTGCCAACACACAGCTTAATAGCCGTTGCAAAAAATTCATCGCAACCTCATTAGAATGTCCCTTAAGTGCTGTTAAGGAGATTGGATTTGTCGATGTTAATAATAACTGTTTATATATTTATAATTAATCTATTTTTGTTTGTTAAAGTATTTTGATTAAAAGAAAATATATTATAGTGATGAAGCTTAATCACGTGACTAAAAGTCTATTTGGTATGAACTTGATGTTTCTAAAAGTATATATTTAATATATCTATAGATATAGGGGGTAAAAAAATTACTCTGTGTGTGTGTGTGTAAAAATAGATTCAAAGTTACTGTATCTTTAAAAAGGTAAAATATGCAATTAACAGCTTACCAAAGCTCCTTGGAACTCCTTTTTTAACGCTTTAATTTCTGCAATTTAATTTAATGTTTCTATTAGAGATAATACTGTAGTTTATGGCTATAGAAATCAGATCTACAGGGTGGCTCATCGAAAACGTTCCGCCAGGCATAACGGCCAGGGTATATTTTTTTTTCAAAAAATCCAAAAACACGTCAGTTTTGTTTGTGAGGGGGACAACTTTTGACGCAAAAATGATTGCAAAATCTTTAACCCTCTAAGCGAGGGTGTCATCCCCCAACTTTTTTCAAATGGGAAGGGGCGGGTTAGGTTACTAGTGCTATACACTTTACTTTTCATGTATACCCATAGAAAAAAAAGTCTAAAGGAGTCAAGTCGGGTGACCGGGGAGGCCACTCAATTGCACCCCTTCGTCCTATCCACCGACCGAGAAAGTTATTATTTAAATAATTACGCACATTTTGAGAGTGATGTGGAGGTGCACCGTCTTGTTGAAATATTAGTTCGGCTTCAACGTATCCAGGATTGTTCTCTATGATGTCAGTTAGGGCTGGGTCGATGGTATTTTCCAGTAAATCCAAGTACATCTCACCTGTTAGATTTTAAGGAAGAAAAAAAAGGACCTACAATAGAATTTCCAAAAATACCAGCCCACGCGTTCAATTTCTGAGGGTTTTGTGTGTGCACCTCGTGAAAAACCCTGGGGTTGTCCTCAGTCCAGTACCGACAGTTGTGCCGATTAACTACACCGTTAAAAAAGAAAGTACACTCATCCGAAACACACATTAAATAGAAAATTATTATCATTCGCCACTCGTTCACTCATAGTTTCGCAAAATTCCAAGCGACGGTCAAAATCGTCTTCGTTGAGTTCTTGTACCAACTGAATTTTGTACGGGTGGAACTTATTTCTACTTTTTCTGCATGTGAGTACATCATAATTGTAAAAAAGTTTAACAATATTGAGAAGAACTTCAACGCACAAGTCACAGAACAGCTATCTAGCATCTACCGCACCTGATCGTCCAACCTTGTGGCGAGTGAAAAAATGCGTATAAACATCTAGAAATAATAAGAAAAAACAGCAAATTGGACGAAGGAATTTATCCTTATCATTTACTCTGATAAATGTTTAAATAAGCTCTTTTCAAATTTCAATCCTTCATATTTTCTCAATGACTCGACCGATTTTCAAAAACGAAGCGGGAAAGTATAGAGAATAGAAAGCCCTTTTCATTGCGGTACCACTGTTATGCCTTGCGGAACGTTTTCGATGGGCCACCCTGTATATGATGAGTTTGGTTTGGTTTGGTTGGTTTGTTGTTAAATAAAGTAATGCCTTTGTTTATATATAAGAATACATATCCAAGGGTAATACTGTTATAACAAATTATGTATATAATTTACTATTATATAACACCAGAACTAAAAAAAGCTGAAATATTCTAAAGAATTTAAAACATTTTACAGTTTTTAAAAATCTTCAGCTAACTGATATTTGTTAGTAGTTGTTGGTTAAGTTACACCTATAAAACCTTGCTTTTCCCTAAAGATTTCTATAAACATTTTAAAAAATACGAATTATTTTACCTTTAAAAGTACATTGTACTGGTAGTATCATTTATTCTTCTTGTCCTACAACGACTCTGCTTTGTACTTAAGTTGGTCAAGGTGAGTTATTCAGTATTAATGTCTCTTTGACAAAAAAAGATTTACTCTTAAAACATCGAATCTTAACTTTTCTTATTGTTTTTCTTAAACAGTCTAGATTTTTAGTTTTTCATCAAACACACATCTAACATTTCAAAAATACCAATTTCAGAACCCTTCTACTGCATTATTACCAAAATATCATCAATATAACGCCACGTTTTCATAATACCTCCCGATATAACCCAGAAAACCTGCCGATTTGCATTAAAAAGGACCTTTTCAATGTCATTTTTTCCATACTTTCGGACAAAATGACTTATAAGAGGGTGTGCTCTATCGCTCTATAAATCTTTTCAAACGCGTCTCTTTGTGCTCTTCCGGTGTGTGGAAATGGCTCTTTTTTGGCCGTTTTTCCGCTGGCCGTGAACAGGGGACGGTCTGGGTTCGAGTCCTTGAACCAGACAGGAACGGAAAGGTTGGATAATAAAGTAGGTGATTTATTGAGCTGTGTGAAGCTGGATAATAAAAGTACGCATATATTTTTCGGTAAAAAATGTTGACTGAAAAGGAAAAAATGAAAATTTTGATTCTACAGTATCTCTAGAAAAATTTGACAATCTATACTAATATGACTGACATACTGATTAATCACGATCCTGCTCAAACCACTCAACGTAAGAAGCTCAATTTTGGCATACAAGTTGATTCAATGGTGTAGAGGTTCGATAAGAAGGGATTTTTCGAAATCCAGTTCCAAGAGGGTAAAACCACCCCTCAAATATTACAATATTTTTTATTTAAAAAACGGTCAAGTTTCCGAAAAAACGCTTAAACACGTATATTTTATTTTGTTGTTTTACATATTTTAAGATTTTTTAAAAACGTATACAGGGTGTTTCGAAAAATCTGGTCATTGATTAATCACGATCCTGCTTAAAGCGCTTGACGTAAAAGCTGATTTTGGAAAACAGATTAACTTTAGGGTGTAGAGGTTCGATAAGAAGGGATTTTTCGAAACTCGAATTCTAAGGGGTGAAACTATCCCTCAAATATTACAATATTTTTATTTAAAAAACAGTCAAGTTTCGAAAAACGCATTTTTATTTTGTTGTTTTACATATATTAAGATTTTTTATAAATTTATACAGGGTGTTTCATAAAATATGACCATTGAGTAATCACGATTCTGCTTAAACTGCTTGACGTTTAAAGCTGATTTTTGGCAAACGGATTGACTGTGGGGTGTAGAGGTTCGACAAGCATAATTTATTTTGTTTTTTTACATATTTTGAAATTTTTAAAAAAATCATACAGGATGTTCCAAAAAGTTGGGTAATTTCTTAACCAGGATTCTGCTTAAACTGCTTGACGTAAAAAACTTATTTTTGGCAAACGGATTTTTCGAAAGTCAAATTCCAACGAGATGAAACTACCTCTCAAATATTACCAAGTTATATAATAATATCGCCATATTTTTTTTTCTCATGCTGACATAAATGTGAGAAAATTTTATCCAGTTTTTATGTTAATGGAAATTCTTGCTTTGCTTTATCATCACCATTACAAATGATTAATTCGACGCGAACGAAGTCGCTGGTACACGCTAGAAATATTATATTAAATGATATCCCCAAAATATGGAAAATTATGAGTGAAAATCGAACTGTATATGTTATTATTTACTATTTTAACATTGCATGACATTAAATAGTTAGAAAAATTGTTCAAAAAAAAAGGAATCAACTGTTTTACCGTGAAACTGACATTTCTCTAACAACTGGACCCGTACTCTACCGGGTGCTTAACTTTTTTATTTTTTCACATAAAAAAACGAGATTTGGTATATGACATAAATTAGGATTGATTGACGTATTCAATTCTTTTTGATCTACAACCCTCAGTATTTTTTTACTTTATTTGATAAAATAGACTGAATAGATTGACATATAACCATATTCAAAATTGTCAAAAGTTGACATATGATAATATGTCATCCTATTCAGAGTTGTAGTCATTTCCGGTGAAACAGGAATTGACCGAAAACAATTGAATACGTCAATCAATCCTAATTTATGTCGTTTACTACCATACTAAATATGATGTTATAGTGAGCCAGTATTGAGACGCACCCGGTATATTCATGATTTTATCAGTCAGTCTCAATTTTAATTCACCGAAACAACAAAGCTTGTCCTTTTTGACTTTAATCGAAACTCTTTGCCTCTTTCTTATGTCCAAAGAATTTCCTGGATAAAAAAGAAAGCTCTGGCATGGCAATCTGGATTCTTTATCGAGCCGAGCCCTGTTTAGGACCCATTTCACTCGGATTTACTCAAAACTTCGACGTACAGTAGTCAGTGTGTTCCATAAATCATATTCTAAGCTCTCAATCCGTATGTTCTTCGAACATTTTCCTTTTGCTTTGCTAGAAATGTTTCCATGTCGTGGAAACATTTTAAGTAATGGTTATGTATTCCCGGAAAATAAACCGTAAGATATTATGTTTGTCTTCAAAATGGATTGTTATGTAGCTGTGTTGTTATAGTTACTTTAAAGAATGTTATAAAAATATACTTAAAGGGAATTTAATAAAAGTTTGCGTCGAAAAAAAATGTGTCATCGAAAAAAAAAACGGCGTCAGCTATGGCTATGCAATGAACATCTCGTCATTTCCCAGCTTACTGGACGCCGTTTTTTTTCGATAATACGGTATGTTACCACGGTTACTTTATTACTCTGAATTTATTAATTTTTTAATTTTGTTAGCGAATCTTCACTTTAATTTTAGACACAATATACAGGGTGAGTCTTAAATAAGTGCAAATATTTTTAGGGGTAGTATATTTCGACTCCAGAAACACGATTATAATGTTTTTTTTTGTAAACAAAAAATTGTAAATCGGAAATATGTGGAAACAAATTTTGGATTTTTTTTAGTTAAAAAACCATAACTTCTTGATAATATGACAACATACGTAGTATTCTTGCAAATTTACAAGAAAGAAAATCCAGAAATGATCCAGTGGTTCTCAAAATTTAAGCAAAGAATCATTATTTTTCAAAATTTTCAAAGTAAAAAACCTCGGATATTTTGGACTTTTTGAAAAACGGTAAAGAGAAAATATGATCCTTTTATGGAGATCTACCAGTCCTGAAAATATTTGCACTTATTTAAGACTCACCCTGTATATACAAGTATCTTTTTATACATACACTAGCGTGTACCAGCGACTTCGTTCGCGTCGGATTAATCATTTGTAATGGTGATGATAAAGCAAAGCAAGAATTTTCATTAGCATACAAACTGTGACACTTCAACTTTTTGGAACAACCTGTATGATTTTTTAAAAAAATTCAAAATATGTAAAAAAACAAATAAATTATGCTTGTCCAAGCGTTTTCCCGCAAAACTAACCGTTTTTTAAATAACAAATATTGTAATATTTAAGGGGCATTTCCACCCTCTTGGAATTTGAGATTCGAGAAACCCCTTCTTATCGAACCTCTACACCCCACAGTCAATCCGTTTACCAAAAATCAGGTTTAAATGTCAAGCAGTTTAAACAGAATCGTGATTACTCAATGGTCATATTTTATAAAACACCCTGTATAAATTTATAAAAAACAACAAAATAAAATATACGTGTTTAAGAGTTTTTCCGAAAAACTCACCGGTTTTTAAATAAAAAAATATTTTAATATTTGAGGGATAGTTTCACCCCCTTAGAATTCGAGTTTCGAAAAATCCCTTCTTATCGAACCTCTACACCCTATGGTCAATCTGTTTTCCAAAAATCAGCTTTTTACGTCAAGCGCTTTAAGCAGGATCGTGATTAATCAATAACCAGATTTTTCGAAACACCCTGTATACATTTTTAAAAAATCTTAAAATATGTAAAAAAACAAAATAAAATATACGTGTTTAAGCGTTTTTTCGGAAACGTTGCCGTTTTTTAAATAAAAAATATTGTAATATTTGAGGGGTGGTTTCACCCTCTTGGAACTGGAATTTCGAAAAATCCCTTCTTATCGAACCTCTACACCCTAGAATCAACCTGTATGCCAAAATTGAACTTCTTACGTTGAGTGGTTTGAGCAGGATCGTGATTAATCAGTATGTCAGTCACTTAGGATTTTATATATTACTATAGATTATTACACAAACAAATTCTAATTAACAAGTTGATTTCTCTATACTTAATACGATTTATATAAAACTGACATTACAGGAGTGGCCATGTAGTTATTATTATGTCACATAATTTTAATTTTCATCATGATGAAAATTTGTACAGACTCCTCAAGATGTTTTGACTGAGTCCAATACAGACTTCCTACATTGTATTATTGTATTTTGTCGATGGCAAGGTTATAGCTGGCGCGCCCAAATTCATACGAGGAAGTACCGTACTATTATAAAAAGCCCACAGCCGAAAATACGAACCATCAGTCGATTGTTTTTTAAACGAGCAACAAGAACTACCCTAACCAAAACAACAATGTACAAATTCGTAAGTTCTTTTTTGTTTTTTTTGTCGTCTTTAAAATTATATAGTACTTATAAGTACCTCTGTCATAAAACATAATATTTTTTTTTAATATTGATTAATTATTACTATTAAATCATTTGCTTTATTAAGGTTGTATAGTATGAGTCAAAAAAAATATTTCAATTTAAAATTTTAGCTTAGTAAACTTTTATTTTAGTAATTTCTTTTACTAAGTTGTATCCTAAAATGTTTGATAGAAAATATTATATTTAAAGTAATTTGAATAATTATTTGCTTATTATAACAAACTATTAAGTGTCTTAAGGAAAATATTTTTTATAAAATGTTAATTTCAACAATAGTATATTGTTTTATTAGGAGTAAAAATTGTACTTTTTGTCGCCAGGCACAAAATGTCATTTTTACTCCGAATAAAACATGGTATTTTTTTCGAGTCACAAATAATTTTTAAAGATTTGAAATGTTGCAAATAATATAATGGTATATTGTTTTATTAGGAGTAAAAATGACACTTCTTGTGGCGTGGCTGTACGTTTGACATACATTTGACATTGCAGCCGAGACACAAAGGGTCATTTTTACTCCGAATAGAACATGCTACTTTTTTTCAAACGCCACAAATAATTTTTAAACAATTTCAAACGTTCCAAGTAATATAAAAAGATTTAAAAGTCATACCTGTAATTGTATATCGAGAAACTATGGTTACGCTTGTTGAATTTGACACTTGATATCAGTTTAATTATATTTTTTCGTTCTTTTATGCCTAAAGCGTTAAAATGACTTTTTTATATTGTCAATCACGTCGCAAAAATTAATACTTTTGTGACGCTTGAAAAAGAAACTAAGGTTTCACTCGTTGAATTTGACACTTCATGTCAGTTTAATAATATAGTTTCATACTTTTGTGCTTAGGTGTAAAAGTGCTTTAGGCGTTAAAATGACTTTTTTATATTTAAATTTATAATGCTCTATACAGTAGCTACAACTATATATTTTTTATTTCAATTTCAGTTGGTACTCGCAGCCACTTTGGCTTTCGCCGCCGCTGGCCACATCGCTCTTTCCCCCGTGGCTTACTCCGCCCCTGTAGTGGCAGCAGTCCCCTCAGCAGGTATCGTCCACAAGAGCGTCCAAGCCCAAACCATCGTCGACCCTCCAGTAGTCAAAACCGCCATTCAATCCGCACCTGTAGTAGCTTACTCCGCCCCTGTAGTACACGCTGCACCCGTAGTAGCTCACGCTGCACCCGTAGTAGCTCACGCTGCACCCGTAGTACACGCTGCACCAGTTCTAGCTCACGCTGCTCCCGTAGTACACGCTGCACCAGTAGTAGTATCCGGCCCATCAGTACACAAGACTGTCCAAGCTACCAACATTGTGCACAGAGCTCCAGAAGTACACACTGAAGTCCACGCCGCTCCCGTTGTGCTCAAGACTGTACACGCTGCTCCCCTTGTACATGTCCATTAAAGTCTGACGAATGTACCTAATTCTCGCAAGTGCCAAAAAAAACGATTTTTTTTTAAAAATAAATCTATAGTTTAAAAAGTGTGTAGGTGTTTTATTTGTGTTTGTAGTAGTACCAAAGAAATATCTTTTGGTTGTATGGATAGCACTGAATATTGCCAAGCATCTCATTTAATTTGATCAAAAGTAACTAAAGAACATACTGGTTTATTTACTGGTCCCAAAAAACACATAATAATACTTTAAATACAAAAAATTATTTTTTTTAATTCTCCATCTAACACAGCAATAATATAGAGGGTGCTTCATTAAAAAAAAAACGAAGAAAAATTATTTTATATTTTAGAAAGTTTGGCATAAAATTTTGAACACCCTGTATAGTTTAAGATTACGATCTCTATAGCAAAGTAAGTACCGACCAACTATTTCTTGTATTTTTAATATTTTATTTAAAAAAAATGAAAACACTTCCTTTTTTTATTTATTTATTAATATTTTTGAAACATATTTAATAATATCTTAGGATTATGTAAAGTGATTAGAAAGGAAACCAAAAATGTAATAATATACAGGGTGTTCGTTAAAAATGATAAATGTAAACGAGTCATAATCTTTGGACAGTAAATAAAACAATTCATTATGTAATATACTATTATCGACCTTTCTTTCTTCAATTATATTGAAGAAGACGAATTTTATTATGTTAATTTAATACGAATTTTGTTTTCTAGTACCTTTTGATGAATAAAAGCCAATTATTTCTGCTATCTCCGTAATATGTACCATTCCAAGTGATTAAGTCGACAAATCAGAGCCGTAACCATCCCAACTGACCCATTAATCACGAAAACCGCAAAAATTAATCTCGCTTCAGCCGTTTATCGATGCGTAAGACCCAAATAGAGATGGCCAAATCTATCGATCTTTTTAATATCGCACGGGAAAAATTGAACGAAGTAGAAAATTTGCTAACAATGTTCTTAAATTAAAATAACAACAAATTCTATTGAATTGTATAACAATTATAGATGTATACAGGGTGTCCCAGGCTGAGCGTGTATTAGAAGTTTCTAGAGAAGAGAGATTTTTTGCACATTATTGTTTCACAATGAACTCTCCTTGTTTAGATGACTACCAAAGAGAAAACAAAAATTTCATAGTTAGAGTATGTATATTCATACTTCTGTTTCGATCTTGCTGGAAGCAATCCAGAAATGGCTCTGAATGCCTCTTCTTCAATGTCAATCTCTTTCCGAATCGCTCATTTTTTAAACTAGTAACATCAATATTATTTACTGCCATATTGACATTGCCATGCATGGTGTTATTTGAACAAAAGTATTAAGGTAATTGATTTTTAGGATAGGTATATAGTTAAATCAGGTATATAGCAGAATATAGTAAATATCTATTATTGTACTAAAAATATCGATATTTTCGCACATTCCTATCCCGAAAAAAAAACTCTTTTAACGTTGTTCCTATTGAAAATCGCCTCTTTTTACCAACAGAAAATCAGCCGCAAAGACGAAACGTACATTGAAAAAAGAAGTCAATGCGAACCAGACCCAAGGCTAGGGTCAAGCTCGGGAAAAATATGGCCAGCGAGAAAATGGTATAAAACGGGACCACCGCAAACAACCAGAGCACACTTCGATCAGACTTAATCGAAAAGATTCTATAGAACTCCTTACAGAACCTTTTATAATTCTTCTTTTACGTTTTTCAGTAGTTTGAAAAGAGTTCGAGATGTTCAAGCTGGTAAGTATCTCAATTAGAGCAGATTATTAATTTTTCAGGAGTTTTTTTCAAAGTTTTTTAATAGTAGAATTAAAAAAATAAATCAAATTAAATGTTTTTCAATTATATACAGTTCTTTTTAGTTTATAGATTCATTTTCATTTTTTAATTTTAAAAGTTTAAAAAAAAATTTTGAGGACCAATTTTTATACCTTTAAATTTAATTTACCACATATGTTGCCACATTATCAAGATATTATGTTTTTTAACTGTTAATTTTCAAAAAAACTTTAAAAAACAGAAATTTAAAAGAAAAATAATAAAAAAATCCATTTTACTTTTTTCTGGGATAGAAATATACTACCCCTAAAAAATGTGCATTTATTTAAGGCTCACCCTGTATATACAGTTTGTTCTTAAGAAGATTCTTATTTTTTAAAGCTTCTTTTAAATGTTTTGAAAAACAGAGTCTATCATCGTATATTATATCAATATAATATAAACTCGAGTTATATATAAGTTATTAATTTTTAAAAAAATATAGATTACAAAGTTTATTTATTACAGACCACTTTATACAGGGTAAACCAAAATTACAATATTCAATATAAGAGATGATAATGTCCACAGCATATGGTTTAATTATAATAAGGTTAAAAATGACTCGACTGATAAAAAAATTAACTTATTGCTCTCGAGCATCTGTCAAATATGATATTTAAATAAATATATGATCAGAATAATAGGGTTTTTGGCTGAATTTTGAAAAGCTTTATTTAAAAAACTTACTTCTTTTAATTTTACATTAATATACCAATTTTTATCTGTCAAAGTAAAAAATACCAACCATTTCTCGAGGCAGAAGCAAAGAAATAATGATCCTGCCTGTTTGTCACAAAAATATTAATCTCATATACATAAAAACTCTGCTAAAATTGAGTTTCTACATCTTGTAATAGTATATTGTTTATATAGTAGTAGTATTAAGAGTAAAAATGACACTTTTTTGGCGAGGCTATACGTTTGACATACAGCCGAGGCACAAAAAATTTTTACTCGGAATAGAACATACTATTTTTTTTCAAATGCCACAAATAAGTTTTTAAACAATTTCGAACGTTCCAAATGATACAAAAATATTTAATTATTAGTCACACCTTGTATGTAATTATACCGTATGATCGAAAAAAATGGCGTCCAGTTGGCTTGGAAATGACGATCGATGACATTTCCCATATAATTTTACATATAAAATGACAGCGATCTTCATTTCATAGCCATCGCTGACGCCGTTTTTATTTATTATAAAATTGTTGCCGTTGAAAATTTTTTGATAAAATTATAACAGAAGTATTATAAGAAAATTATTTCTAATTTTATACTGTAGCAGAACATATTTTTAAAGAATATATAAACTTGAGTTAACTAATTTAAGTGAAAAATTATATAGAAACGGTGCAATCTTTTAATCAAGTTTGCCATCACGCAAACCCATTTTTGTACAACTAAATTTAATTTTTCTTTAAAAACTATTAATTTATTCAAAATATTTAACTAAAATATACAAAGACTAGATAAATATTTGACTGACAAACCAAAAAAAGCACCATCAGTTATTTTTGTCTTTCCGTGGCATAGATAAAAATGATTTCTTTTTTATCCAAGTAGCTAAAAATTTGTACACTTATGCAAAATTAAAAAATAAACAACTTTTTCAAAATTCTTTCAGTAAAGCCATTTTTCCGCTATTTATTTATTAAATGTCAATTTTGACAGATACCCTAATCAACATGATATTTTTTTTTTGTATTCAATATCATTTATTCTGTGATACTGTAAAATTGTATTGTTTACCTAAAATTTCCAAGAAATACATATTTTACTTGAGTGTTTTAAAAGAACTTAAAAAAATTGTTATTTTATAGTTTTAAACACGTAAATAACAAATTAATCGTAATACCGAATTTTTCACGGATTTTACCCCGCCCAGCAAGGACACAATTTACAATTTTCCGTAACATTCCGTAACAATTTACAATTTTTTTCGGTTATTCTGAATAACGTAATAATTGAAAGGATATAGGGACATTACAAGGTGACATTCATAGAATTAATTTTAATGTTGTTATATAAACAAAAACAAATCAACAGAATTATACGATCTATTCTCATGAATGAATTTATTAATTATATATATTTTTTCATAGCACCTATTAAAGTTGCCTTATATCTATCAAAAATAGTAGATAAAATAGTTTTTAAACACAAGGGTAGATTATATGATACTTTTACAGCGAGGATACGTTAAAAACTTTATTTCTTCTCGCACGATTTTTACTGGCTTCCATTTTTGAAAAATTTTGTATTCCTTTTCATAAGTTATTTGGGATTTAAATGGAGGTAGTTTGGATATGGCGTTTGTTGCCTCAGCCTGAATATCTGTTGGTAATTTACTTATTTCGTTTTCAGCTTTATTTATTTGTCAAATTACATAGAAACCAACGCCAACCCAGCACAATATTTTTTCTACTCGTAATAAATTCCTTTAAACTAATTATTTTTTCGCGAAAATAACCTCATAGGCGTGTTTCTGGGGTTGAACTACACTACCAGTTAAAATACTTGCACTTATTTCTGGAACACCCTGTATAAAAGGTAGAGAAAATTATGGCAACTTAATTTCAGCTAATAATGTCCTTGTCCTTAACCAAAACGATATAAGCTTATATTAACTCAATAAAAAATAAAATAACTATTGTATATCATAATAAGTGTGCTTTATTTTTTTTTATTTTTTAATCTCGAATTCTTTTTTATTCAATTCCAGGTAGTACTTTCCATTGTTGTCGCATGTGTCTATGCTGGAGTCGCTCCCAAAACCCCAGCTGCCAAAACCGAAGTCAAACCCGAAGTTCCCTCAGTGAAAAGCACCCCCCTTCATCAGGAACAACAACACGAGACCAAAAAATCCGAGGATGTCAAATCAGTTAAATCACCCGAAGTAAAATCGTCTCACGAGCAACACCACCACGACAGCAAAGAGAAGAGTGCTCAGAAGGCTCAGCCAATACAAAGTGGTGAACATCACCAAGTTAAATCGGTGAAGGATGAGAAAAAAGATGACAAAGTTCATCAAGTCAAACCTGTCCATGGTCACTGAATGATGTTTGTTTGATTTTATTTTTTTCGTATTGTTTTAAAGTTCCTTTTTCTTTATTTTATTTAGTTATTTATTTCTTTTTGTGATTTTTTGGTTGTACTAAAAATAAAGTTTTATGTTATAGAGTACCTATTATTTTCATTCTTTAGTTTTTGGAACAATTTAGAAGTTAAGCTTCATTTAGAACCCCTACAATTAGTAAAATAAATTAGTGGTTTCAATTATACTTTATACTTTTTTTCCACAGCAACTGTTAAAATTTCCTTATATCTATCAAAAATAGTAGATAAAATGGTACTTTAACCGCAAAGGTAGATTAAATGATACTTTAACAGCGAGGATAGGTTAAAAACTTTATTTCTTCTCGCACGTTTTTTAATTGCTTCCATTTTTGAAAATTTTTGTATTTCTTTTCATAAGTTATTCGGGATTTAAATGGAAGTAGTTTGGATATGGCGTTTGTCGCCTCAGCCTGAATACGGTTCTGAAGGCATACATTGAAATTAAAGGAACAAACTTCTACGCTAATTAAAACTAGTAATTTATTCCACTAATTGCGAGGTTTCGAATGAAGCTTTAACACAAAATATTGGAAAAAATCTTCAACAAAGTCTAATAAATCAATCGGAATTTGAGCGAAATAAAAAAACCTTTTTTACGCTCGAAACACGGGGTATAAAAATCACGTTTACTCCCCCTGAAATCAATCACTCGCTAACCCCTTGTTGGGGGTGTGACAAACGGATAGAGTTGTACGTTTAATGGGGAGAGTGGTGGAGTAAAGCGGGGGGAAAATACGTGCGTTATATATGTGTAGGACATGATTAAACTAGATAGCAAATTGCGTAATGTAGCTGGAAAAATTTACGAGCTTGTCAGAGATAACTCAAGGCCTATCCTTGGTATTATTGTGTCTATCTGATTGCCTGTTGCCTAGTTGATTTGTTATGAATTTCTTGCTATTTACCAGGGTTTTGAAAAAAAAGTTATTTTATTATTTTAGTTTTTGCTAAATTTATTTTGAGACCTATGATATTTAATATTTTTCTGAATTTTCTTTCCTGTTATCTTCCACAAACAAATTTTTCTCTGTTACAAATAAATTTTATTTTCAAATCTCAAACCATCGCAGCCTATTCCTGGTCATTAAACCCTTTCATTTTTATCTTCCATACCATTTTTTTTTCCTTCCGTCTGACTTTTTCTTTATTTCTAGCAAAGTTTACCGACGTTTTTTCAGCCGAACAACTGTCAAGACAGCAATTTCCAATTAGGAAAATTGAACAGGGCCGTGGGTGGACCGAGAGCCTCTAATTTCCTTGCGAATTTAATTCTCTAAGATCGAAAGAACAGAAGAAAAATATAAAAGAATGTCGGAGGAAGGAAGTATAATTAGCCAGCTCACCGGAAGTTAAGAGACATTTAACGATTTTTGCCTTTCTGGAGTTGATTTGGAATGAAATTTATCAGGTTTATGCTGAAGAAGTTTTAAAATTATTATTTGATGTTTGTTTTTGATCTGTATTTCAAAGATAAAATAGTTAATATAGTTAATAATAGTTTCACTATTTTAGTAGTCACAATGATTTAGTACATTAGTATAATGAATATGCGTTTATTAAAATTTCAGTACTAAAATAAAGAACGCGTTCATTGGGACAATGAACGCGTTCATTATATTAATGAAAATCTTACATTAATTTAATAACCAGATTTTCATTATATTGATGAAATTAGATTCATAGTATTAATAAATCGGACATCGATCTATGATTAACAAATCATTATATTAATGAAAAAAATCATTGTCCCAATGAAACAACAGTTAATAATCAATGTTCATTAATATTATGAACACTATTTTTTTCAGTGAACTCTAACGTGATTGGTCGGGCTTAATAGTTCCCTGCTAAGGCTAGACACAAGTCATTTAATCTACCTTTGCGGTTAAAGTACTATTTTATCTACTATTTTTGACAGATATAAGGCAATTTTAACAGCTGCTATGGAAAAAAATAAATTTCACGTACTACAAAGTAATATAATATTCAAAACCACACTTTCATCCATCTCATAAAAACAAGTGTCTCTAAAATAAACGTTTGTAATGAATACTTTACTAATGAGCTCCCATAATATTCATTTTGCTTGTTCTTCCTTCCCTATCTGTTCTCCGCTTGCTGAAAACACTTGGTAATCTTGGACTGTACCCGGGCCGGGAAAATTCCATTTCCCACCATTCGACACGTTCGGGATATCGTTGGAACGTGGAAAATTAAAAGGCGAAGCACGGAAAACCGGGAAAAACTATGGTCGCACGAACGGAAAACTTGTTGTTAGGCGGAGAAATGCCGTTGTTCGAATCCGGTTCAGAAGGGAAATTGTAGCCGGAGCTGTGGCTAATTTACGGGTGGGTTGTATTAAAAATTTTAGAGCACGGTGGAAAAAAGGAAATTGTTCTTTTTCAGGAAGCTATAAAAATTGCAGCTGGGAACGGAAATCGATAGATGGATTTTAATAATGAAAGTCTCAGAGTGTATTTTGAGAGTTAAATGTAAAAACGGAAAATTTTGTTTGTTGGTTTTATTTTATGTTAAAATACGAGTATGATTCTTGTCATGGCCAGAGCCGCAACAAGTCAGTTTTGTTTTTTTATTTCGTTGCAAAACCAGGTGAACCAGACCGGTAATGCTTTGATTTTAGTCGACGTTAAAAATGCATTTAATTGCGCGTCATGGGAAATAATTATTAAAGAACTTAGAAGATGGGGCATAAGTGGCTATTTGGTGAACATAATAAGAAGCTATCTTGATAATAGATTTATAGTTCTCAATAGAGAAGATGAAAGAGAGGTATTCGGTGGCGTCCCACAGGGCTCGGTGCTGGGGCCAACTCTGTGGAACATATTCTACGACAGTGTCATGGAGCTTACTGTACCAGGTGGGACAGAGTTGATCTGTTACGTCGATGATCTTGCTGTGATAATAACAAAAAAAACCAAAAGAAACAAAAAAAATAAACGACCTCGACCTAATGCAGACTGTCGATGATACACTAAAAATCATAGCCAGATGGATGCGTGAGCACAGACTCGAAATAGCTGTGGAAAAAACAGAGGCGATTTTACTGAGCCGCAAGAGAAAAGTTGACCATATAAGGCTTAATTTTAAGGATATAATAATAAATCCAGTAAAGCAAGTCAACTATCTTGGATTCCACATAGACCGTGCACTCACGATGGGCCTGCACATCAAGGAGTTGTGTGTCTGAAATCACAACGAACTGCTAAAGCGTTGTCCGCAATACTGCCAAACGTTCGGGGCCCAACACCAGCAAAGAGAAGAGTGTTAGCATATGCGTGCCAGAATATTATTATGTATGGAGCACCTGTGTGGAACGAAGCAACCAATATGCACGTAAATAAAAAAAGACTTGAAGGTGCACAGAGAGTCATGGCTTTGAGCTCGGCGTATCGAACAACTTCAACTGAGGCAGCCTTGGTGATATCGGGTCTGGTGCCCTTGCATCTTCTCTCAAGAGAAAGAGAACGACTCTCAAGTGTGAAGTACAAACCAGGGCAAGCAGAGAGATGAAGAGAAACTGCACAGTGCAGCAGTGGCAGGCAGAATGGGAAGTATCACAAAAAGGAAGATGGACATATAAGCTCATCCCAAATATAAATATGTGGATTAAAAGAAAGCATGGAGAGGTAAACTTCAATCTTACTCAAATATTGAGTGGCCACGGAAATTTTGGGAGTTACCTGTGTAAAATTGGAAAGAGGGAAGTCAGCGGAATGCCGATACTGTGCTGAACCCAATGATACTCCAGAACACACAATGTTTGCTTGTCCAAGATGGGAACAGAAAAGATGTGAGGCACGCATGACGATTGGTGGCAACATATCCGCAGATACCTTCTTAAAATCGGTAACAGAAAGAAGAGAAAACTTTGAAGCCATCTCAAAACTGGCCCAAATATACTAGAGGCAAAATACAGCGAAGAGCAGGGGTAATGACAAAAAGGAACAGCCCAGCGTCTACTTGAGGAGATGCATCCAGCGGGTCCAGGTAGACGGCAGCAGGTGAGGGGGTGACGTTTAGTGGGTAGTTTCCTCCAGGCAGCTTAAGGAGAGATTGAGTCCCACACTCCGTACGTAAAGGTATTTTACACCTCAAAAAAAAAAAAAAAAAGACCGGTAAACTACGGTAAAGACCGATTCCTGAAAAAATCGGTTTGATACGGAACTTTGTTATCGGAATATTGGTAAAATACTGGAAATGTCAAATGGCGTTTTCTAAATGTCAACAAATTTTAGAAATTAAATGAGAATTTCACTCGAACTTCCAAAATATTTCCTTGATTTTTCCCAAGGATTTTTCTCACTTAAATGACAGTTTCTCAAATAAATGACAGTGATTGACAAACAAAATCAGAAAAACCAGCCTTCTCGCGCTGGTTAGTTTGGTGACAGTTATAACGGAATTTTTCAGGAACCTTGTTCCGTAGTAAGAAAACTTTCAGGAAAACCGATAGAAACGGAACATAAAACCATAACCAAGGTAAGCAACGGAATACACTCAACAGACAGAAAAATGTCAAAAATATGAAAAAAATATATACAGGGTGTTCCAGAAATAATTGCAGATATTTTAAGAGGTGGTAGATCTGGTCAAAAGAAACATATTTTCTCTTTACCATTTTTAAAAGAAATTAAAAAATTTCCCGGAAAATGTCAAGAAAAATATAACATTTTCATCAATTTTTTTTCGTAAAAAAACTCATAGGCGTGTTGCTAGGGCCGAAATATACTACCAATTAAAATATTTGCATTTATTTCTGGGACACCCTGTATAAATAGACATTTTAAAAATTTCCAGCTTGTGTATGAGTAAAAATGGCAATTTATTGTAGTATACGTTTTTTTATAAGTCAAAACACATGCGTAATATAAATAAAGTAATGAACCTATACTAAAACTACAGATATTTTATTTATTTTAATATTACTACAACTTGCAAAAATAATGTAGTAGTAATTATAAAAGTTTACGATTCGAAATATAGAGTATTTTCTGCTATAATATATATCAAAAAAAAATCACGGAAACCACCACATAATTTGGTATGAGCTACACATCTGCAATGCAGCTGGGAGTAAATCACTAAGAAATCTCTCCAAGCTTAAAATAAGCTGTATTTTATGAAACGATACTCCAAACAAACAACGCTATGTACTTTCAGAATAAGAATATCTTATTAGGGTCTTGTAAAGCTTGTATTCTATACGTGGTTTGTCAAAATTTAATAAAACAAAGTAAAAGGAAGACAATAAGTACGTGCCTTATATTATACAGAAAATAATATGAAATAAAATTATACATTCGATAAAGAATAGTTTTTAGGGAACATTGAATTTATTGTGATCATTTTTTTTTTCTAGTGTTTTCTGTAAATTATAAATAGTGGGTAACTCAAAACTTTACGGTCATTATTATTTGTTTCTGTAACCTTTAGAGGTAAATCACTTGAATGACATAATGTATTAATTATAGTAATTAAAAATTACCTGTCTAATGATACTGCTACTAAGCTGTAAACTGAAGCAGCTACTGAAACACCCTGTATGTATGGGACGGTTTTGCACATCCACCATCCAAGAACCCATGCTGAAACAAACAAGAAACAAGCGTTAAAGTTTTGTTTAACAAGTTATACCAAACTTTTATTCATTCATTGCGTCTAAGGATTGCTAAAAATGTTGTTATCGTTTGCGATAAATATCCGATCCTTTTGACCGAAACGTTCTTTAAAAGTTAATAAAGATCTTGCTCCGCGTTCCTGAGTGAACAAGTGTGAGATGGCCTTTCTTGAGAAGCGGATACATGTTTACGTATTAGGCAAACGGACTCAAATATAAATAAGGAAGGAAGAGTTAATATTTTTAATTTTTTAAAGAAGTCCTGGCAATGAGTTCTGCTGTTTAGTCCCAGTAAATATCGAACAGCTCTCTTCTGGAGCTTGAAAATGCGGTCAAATTGAGTCGCACAACACGTACCCCAGAATGGAAGGGCGTATCTGAGGTGAGTGACTCAAAAAGTGCATAATACACAGTTCTAGCCACTGACAAGTTAAGCTCTTTAGAAACAGATCTTAATGCAAAACAGGCAGAGCTTAATTTTTTCGATAAAGCGTCGATATGCATGTCCCATTTCAGAGAATTGTCTACAACAAGTCCTAAGAATTTTACAGATTTTACGACGTCAATGGTGGTGTTGTTAAGTACAAAAGGCTGCAGCGAGTTTTTATACGATTAGTTTTAGAAATGTTGAGACTCAGGAGGTTCGAATCGCACCAAGATTTAATGGTGATTAAGTCATTTGATATAATCCTATGAAGTGCCGTGACGTCCTTGTTGCTCCAAGTGAAGCTAGTGTCGTCCACAAAAAGACATATTTTACCACTGATGTTTATGTTAGCAATGTCCTTAATAAAAAGAAGAAACAAAATAGGGACTATATAGTACTGAGCCTTGAGGTACTCCACATTCTATCGGCTTGCTAGAAGACAACGTTCTGTTGTTCAGAAACGCCTTAAACCATTCGAGAGATGTTCCCCTGAACCCATAGTGCTGCAGTTTATTAATTAGGATAGAGATCTGCACGGGCCGGGTAGCCCGAACGGGCCTCAGGCCAGGCCCGGCCCGAACACGGGCCACGGGCCGGGCCGGTTTCGCACTGTCAATAGAGGTCGGGCCTCGGGCCGGGCCGGTTCCGCACTTTAAATAAACACAACTTTGCTTCTGTACATGTTTTTGAGACACCCTGTATTATAATAGGTGTTTTTAGGCTATGTTTTTGTGAAATTGATAGATTGTCTGGAATCGACAAAGAACTACTTGGAATAATTGTAATTGAAAGGATTTTTGTAATTTTATTTTGATCATTTTATTTTAATGGTTTGGGCCGGGCCGGACTAGTTTAAGTTTTAGCTTTTCACAAACCGGGCCGGGCTTACAAAACCTACTTCTCTTCTCGGGCCGGGCAGGGTCGGGCTACAAAAAACCGGCCCGTGCAGGTCTCTAAATTAGGATCTTATGATTTACACAGTCGAACGCCATAGAAAAATCACAGAAAATTGTTGCTGTAAAAGGTTGGTAGGTTAATTTTCTAATTTTAATGCTCTTCCTCAAACTTGTACAAAGAACCAGACCTAGAATAGGGTCACGATGAAAATAAATCTCGCAGTTATTGGCAGGGCTGGTGGATGTCAGGGTCAGAGCGAGGAAGGAAGACATACGTTCCCTTGATATTGGACGCGGGCGGCCTTGTTGGACGATTTAATTGCCCGGCGAATTTGCATGGACCGTCCGTCTCTTCCCTTCCATTAAATTGTCTGGCGGCGTGTCGGACACAAGCCAGGGGCGGACTTGAAACAACCCTTAAGCCCTACAATGGCTTGTGGTAATAAAAGTTTTTGTAGGTCTCTTTATAGACGAGAAGAAAAGTCCCTAATAGATATTATAGTCCAAGAAAATAGGCCTTTAAATACAAAGTTTTAGTGAAAACTAAAATAACTTAATGTTAAAATGGAAAATAAAGTCCAAGCAACTGTCAAAAAAAACTTTATTAGTGACCGGTTTCGACAATTCCAGCCATTATCAGACCTTTGTCAAAACCAGCTGTTCCACTTTATACAGGGTGTCCCAGAAATAAGAGCAACTATTTTAAGGAATGGTAGATCTCGATAAAAGAAACATATTTTCTCTATATCGTTTTTCCAATAAGTCCAAAATAACGGAGTTATTTTACTTTCAAAATTTCCAAAAAAAAAATGATTTTTTGCTAAAATTTTGAGAACTTTTCTGAATTTTGGATCTTTTCTGAATATTCTTTCTTGTACATTTAATCTAATACCTATGTTGCAATATTATCAAGAAATTATGTTTTTTAACTAAAATCTAAAAAAAATTTTGAAAAAAAATCTAGCTGTGAGCATCAATTAAAACGAAAATAGTATTTGCTATGAGAGACGCAGAATTCTATAACAATTTATAATATTTAAAAACAATTTTAACCAACATCAACACATTTAAACTATATCTAATAACATTAAAAATAAATAGCAAACCAAGACATGAGATTTTGCTACAGGTGTTTGACTTATCGACAGTCTTATGTTATGGACAGACCGGGCAGTTTCTCGCGGAATTCATTAACTCAGTGGGGGTGAAAGATACCCTCTCATAACTGCTAAGTATTTCTAATTGTCTAGATTATACGCAAGAATAAGGAACCTTTATTCTCCCGCAAATATATCCATAGGATTAGATCCATGGGCACTAAGTCAGGTGGCCTCGACGGCCAACGGCTGGGATCTTGGTTAGCTATTCAATTATTCTTGAAATTGGCTGCAAAAATTTGCTGATAACTTCAGCGTTCTGAGGCGGCGCCTGTTCTTGCTGGAAAAATATCTTCTAAAAAAAAGTATATGAGTTCCATTAAGGGCATATCATCAATAAGGGGTCCAAAGCCTACTAGTTAAAAGTGGCGAACTTTTAAAAATTCTGTATTTCGAAAGGGAATATAACAAAATATCAAGTGTGCTATATTTTTGGAAAGGTAATTTTAAATTATTTTCGGTTAATTAAAAATATAGAGGGTGTCTCAAGTAAAAAATCAATTTTTCTGTTGTTAACTCTTAAATTATTAATTTTCAAAAAATTATACTTATACCATTAAATTCTACGTAAAAAGGTGCTTTGGAAATGTTTTCATAGAAATGCAAAATTTTCCATAGCAAAAAAGTTACAGCGATTTGTTGAAAATGCACATTTTTGAATACCCCGTAACTCCTAAACGGTAACAGATATTGATGTGCGGTTTTCACCATCATGTTTTTGGTGAAAATTGAGCTCCAGACATTCAGGCTGAGAGCGTGTTATATTTGAAAATCCAATTTAAATAATGTTTTCTATTACAAATAAAAAAAATCTGTCTTAAATAAAAAAAATCTGATTTAAATTATAAAAAAATCTGACTGAAATAAAAACAAAATTATTAATAAAAAAATCTGATTTAAATAGTAAAAAAACTGATTTAATTAAAAAATCTGATTTAAATTTTAACAAAACGATTTTAAAAAAATCTGATATTTTTTATGTTTTAAACAAATCATGATTTTTGCCAGCCCTGGTGTAAAATTATACCAAGTAGCTAGATGCAATCCGTTTTTTTTTCAGGCGCTTCATACACGTATCGATTTCCTCTTAGGCTTCACTTTTAATTTTAGATCCTGCACGAGTTGCAGGTGTTTTCACTTAAGCCGCGAAACAGGTCGTGCAAAATGTAACGTCGATACGCAACAACTTCAAGTCCCCAACTCCCACACCTCCTCACTATTTTCCCTCCTCCTTACTAAAGGAAAGGAAAGAGAGGAAAGCATATCACTCATAACTATTGATGAATTTTTGTTGCATGTCAAGTTCTCAGAAAATAAACTCCGCTTGCGAAAATATTACTTGAACGTTGGATATTCTCGTTTGGAAGTATTTATTTATTCAAAATATCTTATCGTATTTTATTAAAGACATATTATTAATTTTTAATACCTACTCAAGCACATTTTACGAGGTTGTGGATAACTTGGTAACAGTGGTAATTTGTGGCAGTGATTCTAGAAATATGTATACTCTGTTTTTTTTTCTCAGGTAAGATTTCGACAGACGATGACAGAAGAAAAGCAGATTATGTCCCATACTAATCTATTTATTTTACTAAAAAAAGTTTTATTTGTTGTTCTACCTATTTGTTCCATATTACAAATTTGTATTTGTACATAAGTTATATTGATAAATATAATAATAAATGCGGGAAGTTTCTTGAAGCTTGAAAGCAGGGGGGTGACAGTGAAATAGGAAAATTGGAAACAGTCATTAGTGTCAATTCTGTCATCTCCTGACGACAAGTATGGCCGCCTAAACAAGGACAGCAATGTTTCTGTCTAACTATTGTCTAACTTCACAGTTTAGAATTGACAGATTTCAGAGACAACTTCAGATTTGTTCTAGAACAAATTTCGACGCCATTTTAATTCTCTCCGGTTAGTTTTGTTTTGTAAATTCAATTTGATATTTCGGCAGAAATTTATAAATATAAAGATAGTAAAGCATATAAAATATATTATTACATGAACAATCCTGGAGAAAAAGACGTTTCTGCAGTACTAGGTATGTCCCATGTATATTAAAAATAGGTAGTAAATAAACACTATTTCTGTATTTTTTAGATGCAAGAAAATTTTGTTATGTTTATAATCGGCGATTTTTTTGAAAATGGAAACAATTTACAGCAAGGTAAGATCATTTTTAACTATAGCCAACATTAGTTATCTCGAGTATGTGCGATTTATTGTCAATAATGCAGTAAATCTGACTGATACAATCTGATTGTTATCCGACTAAAAGTCTCTTTTTGCTTCTTTTTGATTTACAAACCAGATCTCTTTGGGAATAATGGACGCTTTTTTTAAACAGTATATTTATATTTTATACCTTGATATTTTTACATTGTTAATTTTAGTATAAAAAAATGTGTTTTTCTGTTTTCAGATTTTTGTATAAGGCTCCCGTTTTCATGTCTGCCCCCGTTTTCTATCCTTGATGGCTGTG